GTAAAATTTATCTGATTTATTCGCAAATCTTTAACTATATTCTTAATAATTTTTACTAGATAATGATGAGGGTAAATATTACATGAATTTGTAGCATTTAAATTTACTTAACAAAAGTAAGTGCAAATTGTTACGAGGATTGTTTTTCTAGTAAATCTTACAAGTTCTTTTTTATAGTGTACACCCATCCCTAAATTTAAAATTCACGTTAAAGGCACGTCAGTGTTTGTGTTTTCTACTTTCACAGGAAGTTGAACTATTTCTCACTTGTTTATATTTCATTTACTGGTAAACTTTGAGTCATTCATTCATTAAACCCACAAATGAGCTGCTTTTACGATATAATTTTTATTTTAACACACCAGGAATCATCAGTTTTTTCAAATGTTTCTTATCCAGATTTCCCCTCAAAATTGAGGTATGCTAGGTGTTGAAAATATGCGTATGAATTGCACACAGAGCTTAATTATAATGATTTTTGTGTCTTTTTTAAGGCTAAACGACAACATGATGCTTCTAAAGGCACAATCACGAGACATTAGTGTGTGATGCACTTGTTATCTTGTGACATTTCTTCTCACTTCAAATACTTCCTGTTTTTTAGTTTTGCTTTTGAGAAAGGTTTGTCTTCAATTGCAAATAAAAAGAGAATTAGGTGAGCTTTTCTTTGATGGAATAGAGAAGCTAAAAACGCATGTGGTTTGAAAAGAAATTTCTATATCATAGTGACGTGTGGGAAAGAAAATAGCTGTGGTCAGTGGTGTGTTTTGTCTCATGGCTGCTGTTCAAGTAAAAAAAAACTTGTGAAAATCTGAAGGTAGAAACGAAGTGACTAAGAGCTCATTTTAAGCTGTCTTTATCTAGAATGTGAAATATTAGACCTGAGGGCATCAATTTACGTCAGAATTGTCAAATTAAACACGTTGAATTACTGCTGGCTCAACCACAAACATCATGGGGTTTCCCTGGGTTGACTAATTTATCTTGAACACCAGTAAAACACTTTATAAGGAATCAGGAAACAGCCACAATGAATGAGACATCCTGTTCAGGTGCTGGTTCTGACTTTTGCATCATGCCTTTGCTCACCCTTCCTCGTACAAAAAGACGTTTTATTTGTGTCAGCGCCACAAAGAAATGCGCAAATATGAGTAACAGACTTCAAAGTTTATAACGAGATAATTTATGAGGGAGGTTTTAGCCAAGAAACKCCCTTTCAAAATACTTCAAAAAGTCCATTGTTTTAGGAGAAGTGTTGCATTAAWAATAAGAAAAAAATTGCCAAATGTTATTGTTGTACAATGTCTGTCTGGTTATTTAAACCAAATTACAGATGTTGCTTATACTGTGATTTATTATTTTTTTAAAATCTTCTGAAATTAACGGACGATGCAGCCATGCATGAAAAAAAAAAGCAATAGATTTAAATGGAAAAGTCAAAATAGATGCAGTGCATACACATAATTAAAAAAAGCATGCACAGTATCTCTGAAATAACATCAAGTAGTTAATTTTGTTGTATCTTTAACACACAACACATTAATAAAAATGCAATAAACTGAATAAGTTAATTTTCCCKCCAAATATAATTATTGAAGCATTTATTTATTAGTCTTGGATAGTTTCATCTGCATGCAGGTTGTAACATGCTATATCTAGGATTTGTCCTTCTGAACAGATCAACGTATCATGAATGTACTCAGATTTGAAATAAATGTAGAGATATAAACTTGGGTCTGGGTTCTTTAAAAGACATAATTAATCATTCATTTTTGTTTATTTTGCAGCCCCCTAAGCTGCGGCACACAGACCCCTGGTGGGGTCATAGGACCTCGATTCGAGAACCTGTTCTTGATGACACAGATCGGATGTTAGWAAAATTCCTAAACAATTGATTCACGTTCAGTTCATCATAAACAGTTTGTTCCTGTTGATTCATTAAAGTTGTCTCAAACACATTCCTCTGCTGGATGATTTCGGCACATTTCCAATTTTGGATATATTTTATTTTAAGAGGAAGAGGGGTGTTTGCTGTATTTGTCACAGGACGTGACAAACAGCGTCTGTCTCGCTCGTCACTTGGATGCAAGTGATGTTTTCATAGGGGGGCGGTTAAACACCTCCTACTTGTAACGTGTCTGTGTTTGGTGTTAAAGTAGCAGGGGGAGACAGTGGAGCTGCGAGAACAGAACAACCTCCCAGTCTGAGGTTTTGGTCGTCAAGCAAGCATTTCTGAGAAAACAGACGGGAGGCGTTTCCTCTGGGATAAACAGAGGCTTTAGTAAGGTAAGCAAATCTGAAAAAAATCTCTTTGTTTGCTGCACTATTTGACATCATGGCTTTTAGATTACCTCAGAGTGAGAAYAGAATTCAGCATCTAAATAAAAACAATTCAATGTGCAACTTTTTCTTCATTATCTAGTAAACAATGCTGTTAGTGTGATGTTAATCTACTAACCTAAATTGATATTGTACCTAATACACAGATAGAAACTGTCTGAAAAGTTCAGAACGGGCTCATTAAATATCATTCAGCTGTTATCTCACTAAAACYTCGAACTAGTGCATCACTTGTTCAATTCTGAAATAAATGCGTGAGTTTAAAACTTTTTAAAGAAAGCAGAGAAGCATCAGTTTTGCAGCATTAAAGTGCAACAAATGGACCAACTTACCGCATCATGTGCTTCAAAAAACTCACCATATAAGGTGCATCCATTTATCTTCCTTCACTAAGTTCCATTTCTGTATTTTCTTTTGTGTGTGTGTTCTCAGACAAAAATATCCCCAATAAGCAGAAGGAAAAACCAGAAGTGAAGATGAATCTGTTTGTCATCATCTCCATCCTTATGGCAGCTGCTGGTGTCAGCATGGTAATAAAACACATATTTGAAGTTTAAGTTTGATGTGTGGTGTCACATCCAAAACGTGTGAACATGTTTGTCTCTTCTCCTGCCAGGCTTTTCCACGATTTCCCAATAGAAGAAACAAAGATGGTAAGCGCAGGGAATGGTTGTACATTTTAAGAAATAAATAAAAGAAATCTAACCAGATCTGGAAAAAAAAAATGCTTCTTGTGTTTGGTTTGTGCGCAGAAAGGTGTCGGTTTGGAGATGGGAGAAGCTACAGAGGAAACGTTGCGAAGTCGTCAAACGGTCGCAGCTGTCTCAYTTGGAGCTCAGTTTTTCACTCATGGGGTGATTCAGATGGGATTGGCAGACACAATTTCTGCAGGTATATTTTAATCCTGATTGACGTGTCAAAGCGATGTGTCACGCTTGAAATTAATGTCTTCCGCTTTTAATCAGGAATCCCAACCTCGCCTTAAAGCCTTGGTGTTACGTCTATAAGAGACAGCAGATTATGAGAGAATACTGCCGTATTCCCATATGTAAGACTTAAATAAATTATATTTTTGAAAAACAAAACATATTCTTTATGTTTCTTTGATCATGTGTGGTTTTTTTGGTTAATTTCAGGTCATAAACCAGAAGTGAAATCGACAACWGCGACACCAACAACCAGATCTCCCCCTGCTTTAGACACAGGTACTTTAGTCCTTTTTAAAATTCACTCACTTACCTCAAAACCATCCTCTGACTTCCTCACCATATTCCCCTCCCTGTCCCCAAAGAGCGGACGTGTGGTGAACGCAGGTTGAACAAAATCGTGGGCGGCTCCTTCACATCCATAGAGTCGCACCCATGGGTCGCTGCGCTCTATCTCAATCGCCGCATCTTCCTTTGTGGTGGCTCTCTCATCTCACCCGGCTGGGTTCTCACGGCCGCACACTGCTTCTTAGACGGGTGAGAAAACACGTCGCATTCATCGCTTATTTCCCCCTCATTCAAGTGTCACGCTTTACTTTTCTGGCCTAAGCAGGTTTTGTGTGTAAATCATTGGCTTCTGGTGTGTGCTCAGAGACAAAACCAAACTCCAGCACCTGTCCGTGTACCTGGGGAGGTCGGCCATCAACGAAACAGATGCRGCCAGGGAGCAGAGCTTCACGGTGGAGCAACTAATAATTCATGAAGACTATGATGAGAGCAACTACAACAATGACATTGGTGAGTATGAACATTGTTTGTTAATGCTATAGTCAGCATTTTTCTGTTATGAACTTTAACATTTAACACCCAATTAAAGAAGACATATCATGCAAAATCTGTTTTTAGCTTTTAAATACATTTTTGGGTACTTGGAGTCTCTAGGAGTGCAAAAATGTTGAACTTTAAGTTCTCTCGGTGCTGCGTAGATATTTTTATCTTATTTTTGAGTCAGATTTCTCTTTTTTTATGATGTTTTCTGACCTATTACGTCGTTGACATGTTTTAATTTACTTGCAAAAAAGGTTTCTGCACAGCTATATAGTAAAAAAAAAAAAAAACAACTATCAAACTGGAATGGACCACTCTGGAAGCTGGAGGGGAGTGGGGTGTGAAGCGGTTCATTTGGATTTAAAGAAACAGCCTCAAATCGAGTTGATCTGAGACACACTTCGTAAACTGAATAATTAAAATGTGAAAAAAGAGGATTTAAAAGCAGGATATGTCTCCTTTAAGGTCTGCAGAGTCTGAGAGGAGGCTCTGTGGTTTCTTGTTTCAATGAACATTACACAGTCTGACCTTGGGGTGAATTTTCTGGAAAAATGAGTCTTGGGAAGATTAGCCTTAAAGGTTTTCCAGTTGCYTATAATCTATTTTTCTGCAGAATGATGAATTTTAAGCTGTTTGAAAATAAATTTCTGTTTACAGACAGTTAGGAAGCAACAGTTGCTTCTCTGCAGCAATGGTTTCCAAAGTTTGGGTCGGGACCCRATTTTGGGTCCTGAAAWATCAAAATAGGGTCTACATTTAAAAATGACTGGGAAGATTACTTACGTTTTCATRCGCAGTCTTGAAACATTGACTTTATTTCTTTTTTTTTTTCACTTAAGGTTCAAATAATATCATTTTTATTGTATCCTGATACATGAAACCCCAGAATTAAATGACAATGGACTTTATTTTTCTTGTGAATGTGAATAGGAAAGGTCTCACACATGTCTTTAAACATTCCAGCACTGCTGAAGATCAGTAGCACAAACGGCAACTGGGCAGTGAAGACCCCTTCGGTAGGGACCGTTTGCCTTCCTCCACTTCACACTGAGCTTCCCGCCAGATTCAAATGCAGCATCGCAGGATTTGGGCAGCAAAGCATTGGTGAGGCTTGCAACACTTTTTTTGACTCATCGCTGACTCATCCGTCYCAGCTATTCTTACCCTTGTGCTTTTCTGCAGACTCGGCGTATTCACAGCTGTTGAAACAGGCTGATGTGAACCTGCTCTCCTCCAGGGAGTGTAAACAGTTTTATTCACATTTACTCACTAAGAACATGATCTGCGCTGCCAGTCCTGACTGGAAGACAGATGCCTGCAAGGTGAGCAAATCCTTCTCTGCTCTGAAAGCTACAAAACAAAAACATTATTAATTCCATAGAATCTCATTTTTCCTGTCTTAGTGATTGTCTGACCSTTTCCTCGCAGGGGGACTCCGGGGGCCCGCTGGTTTGCGAAGCATTTGGACGCATGTTTCTCTTTGGGGTGGTGAGTTGGGGAGATGGCTGCGCAGCTGTCAACAAACCAGGTGTTTACACAAAAGTGACCAACTACAACAAATGGATCGCAGCCAAAACAGGGCTTACAAAATACACTGCAGGAGTGATGTATCCTCAAAAATGAAGCGGCGGCACATGATGATCCTATTTACCTGTGCAGTTTGGTTTCATGCGGGGACACACACAATCAGCACCCCCCCCCCCCCCCAAAAAAAAAATATAGGCATAAAGAAAATATAAAATTTGTCTAGATTTTCATAGGATTGATTCTTGGACAGAATCGTTCACGACTATTAGAGTAGGATAAAGATTGTATTTATGTTTTGTTGCAGTTAATGTGTGCATTTTAGGATAAATAAGTTTTATGTACGCATGTCTCAGTGGAATATTACAACAAAGTAGACCTCATTGCTTTAATAACTCAGGGTTGAAACAATAGCATCTGCTGTTTTGTGCCAGCTTTATTTTGATACCGKAACGGTCTAAACAGAATTTGTATTTGCTGAGAAACACGGTTTCAATCAGGTACTTTTTTTCTCAAGCAGGGACTTCAAGGCCTACGGGTTCCATCAGGTTAAATATTAAATATTAGTGCTGCGTTRTTAGTTTATGAGCAGCTGACAAGCTTTGTTTTGAATGTAAAGTGATATTAATGCATAATTTTGTGCTGTTTCTGTTTTAAGAAAATGTTTTGTTTTTGTAAATARTATAACAATTTTTGCTACTCGTGATTTTTTTATATATAAGAAAAGGTGTTTTTGAACACTTAATATATTTATCTAATTTAATTTAATAAGCATTCCCTCTCTTGTAAGGCTGGTCCTGTTATTGTAATATTTTGTTTTATGATAAATATGAAATAAATAAGACTACTGTATRATAATATCATTAATGTCATTTTCATTATTTGCTGATTGAAGCAGCTGGTTATTTTGCAAAGCAACACCGTTATATTCTGCATATGATAGAAAAAACATATCTATTATAAACTTCAACTTTCTTTATGTTGCACACAGTCTGTATGGCCTTTAAGCAATACACTCACTCAAACATACACACTAAGTAAAATACAAGATGAACTGATGAACATATTTTAACTGCAACAAGTATTTTACCACAGTAGAATTAAAAAAAATACATTTAAAAAAAATCCTGAAGTCTGTGTTTTGGACAGTTTTTGTGTTTTGCCAAAATAAACACTAGAGGGCAGTGTTGTGCAAATTTTACATAATGCCTTTGGGGGGGGGGGGGGGGTGTTAAAAAACAGTAATAATGACTCAGAAACTAAACTGCTGAGTGTGACGAAATTTAAAAATAAAAATGAATGAAGCAATTTTAGTTTATTGTGAAATACAGTGAGTTAAACACAACAAAAATAGTTTTATTTCTCATGCAAGCTGTAACATAAAAATAAACTATTTTAATAAACAATATCTCAGCAATATGAGCAAATAGCTCCGTCAGTYCATCCAGAACTTGTTGGCTCATCTTTTCTGAGTTATATTTACAGTATGTTATTTTTAGTGAAAATTGTAATTTCTTGCTTATCTGAACAATTATTGATGACTTTTGCACATTCATATTGCATTTGGTTAAAAAATGTCCAACTTCCCAAAAATGAACAACAAGATCCAAACAATGACAACAAGACAGTAAATATCCTGKGTATTTGCAACATTACCTTATTTTATTCTATTTTTTTCTACACTGTAAATGATAGTTTTACAAATAATAAATTAACCAACAAAAGCAAGGCGAACAAAAATTGAAGCATTATATAAAAATGAGCATAGTAATAAATGTGTTTGCACACAAATAATTATAGAGTGAAAAATGCACTCATTTTGAAAAGGTAATGTAAGTTTTATTATAGCTAATGTCTGCATGTCAAACAATGACAGCAGAGCAGAAGGGTTCTGCTTCCATTTCTGGTCCTGGAAATTCTGGAAGAAATTCATTCGCTGAGATAAAACTCTTCAACTGGGTTGTGGAAGACAAAAAAAAAAAAGATGTGCGAYATATGATGGAGCTGCGCTATAATAAGAATTTTAGATCAGATCCAGGACGTCACAGGGAGATCAGGGTCTGGTTCTGAGTTTGAGATTTATCACTCCAGCTTTTCTAGTGTGTGTTTCATTTTGTTGGTAGTGCTGTATCCATGAGCAGCACTGCTAAACACAAGTCATCTGCAGTGGAGTAGACACACACACACACACACACACACACACACACACACACACACACACACACACACACNCACACACACACACACACACACACACACACACACACACACACACACACACACAATAAAGCTGGATCACACAAGTTAAAAGGCATCATTTTATTGTGAACTGAAAGTATTATCCGTTAAAACTCCTCTGAGCTCCCTGCTGCAATGTTTTCTATCAAACTCTGTTTAGACAAGTCCACATATACAAACAGTTCCTGGCAGGACTATTGGAGCCAATCAGAGTCTGTTTTGCACCCCATTACTTACTCYCAGACACCAGTTTACTTTAATGCTTCTTTTTACTGCGCCTCCGTCCATATATGGGTTTGAGATGCAGCGAGTTTCACTCTCGCTCCTCTTTAAGGGCAATTCCTAACAAGAGGAGCCGATGACTGATACGGGATCCAGGAGGACCAGAGCATCCAGTCTGTCTGGTTTGGACAGCAGTTTTCTCAGAACACACAGATAAACACACGGGGCTCACTTGGCCACAGGCCCTTGGGTCCGCAGGGGGTCTCGGAGGGTATAAATACAGTTTTCTTATAGCTGCTGGGGTCTCCGGTTTCCCCAACACAGACTCAGGTTTCAGGGACAGCCTCACCAAGCAGCACATATCTCAAACCAGATACGTGAATGAAAACAGGGGGAATATCATTACGGTTCCTGTTGGATTGACAGATTATCACCCACTGCAGAAAATGAAAACTTTTGCTTGTGCTTGTTAGAAAAATATCTCATGAATCACTCAGATGATTTTAATGAACGCTTTAAAAAAATAATCATTGGATCTTCAGAGGATTTACTTTTGGAGTCAATTCAATTCAAGGTGAATTATCAACATTAACCACCACAAAAGTTGCTATAATAAGTCACATTTACAGATTTTGAGCTATAATTTGAAGCAGTAGTAACTGAGGGTCAATCACAATCTGGGTGCAACATCACAATATTGCATAAGATTGACTTTTTTTCTGTAAGGATAAGCAAAACAGCTCAAGTTCTGTTGGTTCTCAGCATAAAATAAAAACCAATCTGTGACATAAAAGGCTTTAAATAAAAAAAAAGACTTGCTTTCACTTTTCTACACAGCCTGGTTCAAACCCAAGCTTGTCAGGTGAGCTTCGAGACATCCGACAAACATTATTTTCAGTCAAAGAACAGATCTTGCAGAGCAGAAGGATCTGTAAGAGACTCCTTTCAGTGCAGCTCGCAGCAAGCTGAATCCTTGGTCTTTATTTAGACCTGCACATTGAGGCCTGAAGACATGAACTCCTGACCCACCTTTTAATGAACACAGCTCGTGTGTCAGATGGTTTAACACTTCATACAAAAAAAACAAACAAACAACAACAACAAAAACAGGGTTTCTTGTCATGACGATCAGGCTGTTTTCTATATTTTTACAGATGTGAGGAGGACCTGAGGCTGCAGGGAGCAGCTTCCACCTCCTGACTTCTCATAAGGTTTCTTAGAGTTCAATTATTTCTCATAAGAGGTCATTAAAGGTATTTATAGCAAACTATAAAAATCAAGCATCAAAAAAATATTATTTTGAACTATATCAAACAGTGCAGTTCAAAAGAGTTTACTGTGGTTTCCAGCAGGGGCGGCCTTAGACAATTTGGTGCCCTGAGCAAGATTTCAGGTGGTGCCCTTCTGCAATTTTCCAACTCTCACTGCCACATTACATAAATTCACATACACAAAAAAATAGTTTTGTCTTTGACATCAATTTTTATCTTTGGAAACTAGGTTGTCCAATTAAATTAAATAAAAGTATAATTAATTTGAGACAGAATGCCAGGAGTCCACCTTATACAATGGGAATAAAACAACATAAAATCAGTATTTTATAAGGGTAGTACACTGAAACCAGATTTTAACCAGAATTTTATCCGACATCACTGCAACTTCTGTTATCCTTATTTTGTTTTGTATTTACACACTAGTTTTGACTGCATCATACATCTCAACCCCTTCGGACCTGTACCTTGACCCTCAAAAATCTGTAATTTTCACAAAGAAGTTAGTCACATGCGATCCAACGTGGGAAGGTGGGGGACAAGCGGACTGTTGGCCACTGAGGAAAGCAACTGCAGTGGAGAGGTGCAGAGAAAAAGAGGATGGGGAATTTGTTGTTATTTATTTATTTATTTATTTATTTATTTATAATTACAGGCTCTGAGAGTAAAAATTATTTTGAAGCTGCATTTTTGAAAAAAAATTGTAAGATTGCCTTATACATGGGGGAAAATTTGTGTAATTTACGGACAATCCGTACAACTTTACATGTATGAATTTGATACTTTGAAATATCCTCTGAACCATAACTTCATGTAGCAAGCAAAGCAGACTGAGAAACCCACAGAACAAAGTTACCTTCACAAACCTGAGTAACCACTGATTATTCTACAGACTAAATCAACTTAGATAAAAAAAAGTTTTTTTTTGCCCCAAATCTGTGGCGCCTCTTCTGGATGGCATCCTTAACAGTATGCCTATACCGCCTATGCCACAGCCAGCCCTGGCATGCAATTCTAAAATGCAGGTATACACCCAATGTAAACAAAAAAAAACTGAATTAGCTAAAAACCACAAGAAAGCTTGAGTCAGGTTGACCATTGAAGACATTCAGGTGGAAATATGAGAGTGCCGGGAACGGATTAAAATTTGTGGACCTCTTTATTCCAAAAGGTTCTTTCTGTCTCTATATCTTGTTTCAGCTGTTTTTGTAGGTAAACAAACGCACTTGGCATCCTGTCACAAATTTTGCTTTCAAAATTTTAATCTAAGGACAAATTAACAGTTAATATGAGGTGGAAAAACATGGAGTGGATTTCATGATTTTTATTTATTTTTTATTAAATTTATCAGGCCTTCGGGAGGTTGCAGTGAGAGTAGCTTTAAAGTCACCCCCAACACTTTCCCCTTTTTTTTTTTTTTGGGGGGGGGGGGGGGGCGCAGTGGCGTGCATGACGTCATCAGCTCTCTGTGCGCAGCGCCGGTGCGCGCAGACCGGCTCGGCGGGCTGCGATTGGGCGAAGGGCGGTGATTCCTTCTGTCACGATTTGGGTCGCTCCCACCGGAGGACACCGACCACCGGAGCCCAGCCTGTCCAGAGGTGGTGCTGAGAGGGGAGACGCGGTGTCCACCGGGGGAGGAGAGGGACTTGAGTTCTTTTTCTTTTCTTTTTTTTTTTTTCCCCCTTCTGTCTCGGTGAAGAGGAGAGGAGATCCAACAGTGCTGCTTTTTTTTCCTCCTCCTTCTTCATTTTTCCATCCTATCAGGGCTGCGGTGAAAGTGGTTCACGATGCCGGTGTTTCACACCAAGACCATCGAGAGCATCCTGGAGCCGGTGGCCCAGCAGATCTCCCACCTGGTCATCATGCACGAGGAGGGGGAGGTGGACGGGAAAGCCATCCCGGATCTGTCGGTGCCGGTGGCCGCGGTGCAGGCGGCTGTCAGCAACCTTGTCCGGGTGAGTTCGGACCCATGTGACGCTCTGACAGGCGTTTCTCGTCCAAACTTCTCGATCCGCGGGCATTTGAGGTGTGACAGCAGCCTTCACGGTTCACTGATGAGGGGCTTTAAATCATGAAAGGAAGGAGAGATCATYAAGCTGTCCTGCGCCAAACATAGAGCCCCCTCCTCCTCTTCATCACTCAGGCTTAACTTCGCCATTAAAAATGATTTTAAAACACCCAGCTGACGCTCGTGCCCTTCTGATGATGATGATGGTGGTGGTGATGATGGGGCCCCTGCGGTTTCTGTCACAACTCTGCAACCTTTCAAACTTTACAGATGAAGAATCAGATTTGAGTTCACTGCCTTTTGTGATTGAATTAGGAGGATTTCTATGGGATCTGTCAAAACGAGAAACGTGAGGAGCTGTGTCTGTTAGCAGAATAACCTCTGAACCACTGGATAGATTTCAATGATACTTTCAGGAATTAATAATTGGATGTAAATCTAAATTTGATTAAAGTTTAGAGTCAACTCGATTCAAGATGTTCACCACAGACAACTAAATAAAAAAAACACAAAATGGCTTCGGTTCAATAAGTTATTGAAATATTGAGCTAAAATTTATTTTGAATGTAGCTGGGACTGATGCCTAACTCACTTTCAGAGCATTAACTTATTGCACATTATCTTTGTCTAAAATTCTGCTTTTAACTTATTAGAGTCGGCTCTGTTTGTCTGTTAGCAAAATATCTCCTGAACTGCTGAATGGATTTTAAAAAATGGATTAGGGGAGTTGTCCTGTTCCATCTGACTCAGCTTGGACAGACTCTTCACCCACCTTGCCAGGTGGTTGGTGGTGGTCAGACGGCCTGGTGGCGCCGGTCTATCTTTCAGTCTGCCCCATGGCAGCTGTGGCTACAGCCAGCATTGGTGAATGACTGAAGTATAAAGTGCTTTGAAGTCATTTACCATAATAATTTGATCTTTGCAATTGATTACATTTAGTAACTGAATTTAAGACAGCCCCACAGCCAACTCACATTAGGAAAAAAATGCTCATATTTAGCCAGTTTCACAGATATTTCACTAAAAATCTGGTGTGGCTGTAGCTGAGAGTCACTCACAAGACATACTCCGATGGCAACATTGCATAACGTTCCTCCTTGTCACTTAAACCACCAACTTACCTTCTTTTTCTTGTCTTTGTTTGCTTTCTGGGATCATTTCCTCTTTCACTTTTATTTCTTCTCCCACTTCATCCGATGTAATCGAGTTTACATCTTCAGGGCTGAAACAGCCAAATTTCAGTCGGGTATTGATGGTTCTTTTGTGAGCGCTGCCTGGAAAAAAATCAGTACGGAGCACATCACGGATGCTGATCTGAGTCGTTGGTATCGATTCAGGGTCTGGGCTCCACTCGCTCAGAACTCTGCTGCACACTACCAGGAAAAAGGACCGCTTAGAATAAGAAGATTGGGGAAATGAATGAAAAAGATTAGYACAAATCCTCATGTTGTCTTTCTTATTACTTTAAATTGATTTAACCCTGGTTTTATCCAGTAAATAACCTTTTTTTTTTATTTGAAAGTCCTGAGAACAGCTCAGTCACCACCAACCATTGAAGCTTGTCTTCTCTCATTTAAAGTTTTATTCATAAAGATGTATCCCATACTTTTTTAAAAAAAACTTTGATTTCTTGTCCCTATAATATTATTTAGGAATACCTTCTTTTTAAGTAAATTTAAAGTTCAAAAACAATGATTTTTATATTTATGAGGTTCTATTATTCTCAAATAATTAGAAGAATTTAGACCGTTCAAAAGCTTAAAACTCAGCAGACTTAGTTCGAAAAGAATGGGGGCCTGCAAAATTTATAGTGGTGGCCTTTGCGTCCCCTGTACTCCCCTTTGTTCGGCGGTCCTGGATTGACTCCTTGATGTCTGCTGGCCAGAAGCCTCCTTTCTTAGTCTGCCTGTTTTGATTCCCTCCATCCTGACAGTGAGCAGATGGAGGCTAACTGCGGCCTCAGGGACGTCGCTGAGCATCTCACCATGAGGCCATGAGGATGCAAGGAGAGATCAGAAAGGATGTGAGGCAGACGTATCAGAAACATCCCCAACAAAGGGGAAAAAAAGATGCATTTTGCACTCCAAAAGCATTGAGAATTACTCGCATGTCTGTACTCTCAGACGCTCTTAATACTAACTCTTGACAGAAGAGGAGGAATATGCTCGCTGACAGAGAAGCAAGAGCAAAGGAGTGGCTGATGAAAGGTGATTGCGAGCAGAGCTTCGTGCGGTTGCTGGGTAGATAAACTTAACTGGATGTAAAGGACACCAAACCGACACAGTTCGGGGGCACTTCTGCTCTGTTTTAGYACGATGATTCAGTTCTGTGGAGCAACATGCCACCATCACCGCAAGAGTCCCAGTGCACTCTGATACAGTTACAGTCAACCCCATCCACYGTGGGCTCGTTGTGGAGGAGGGGAGTGCACTTGAGATCTAGGTCACAAACTCAAGATGGTGTCAGTCTCGTTCCGTCTGATGTTGTGCGTAGGTTGATGCAAATTGGCCTAAAGGTGCGACGCTGGCTGTGAAAGTCGCTTTTTTAAGAGCCTWTCTGAGGTCCATGCTGATGACGGAGCTGCCTCAGTGGGAAAAGTGAAGCGTCTGCTRCTGAAGGAGTCGACGTGAGACTCCRCGAGTGTGTCTTCAGAGGGGGGGGGGAGTGGGGTAGGAATAAATAGATTTAGCATTAAGTGAAGTAACCGCACCCTTGACTGAGRGGAGCAGAGAAGGGAGAGGAGGCATGTGACGAGTGGCACTCTAAAACAGTCTGAGAAGAGAGATGCAGAATGTGTTGAGAAGAGGAAGGAGCCACGCGGCAGCTAAACATCAGCTCCCTACAAGGAAGAAAAATTACACACAAACCAATAACTAAATAAATAAATAAAAAAGTCTCAAGACATTTCATCTTGTTCTTTAGCAGTTGCGAGTTTATGGGATCCCTCTCAACCTTTCTAACTTCCAAAATAAACAACAACAACAACAAAAAAAAAAAAAACCAGTACTGGTTAATTGATATACTGGAAATTCAAATAATTGTCCTCTAAAGGTCAGACTTTTATTGTCTTTAAAGCCTTAGTAAAGGAGCATTTTCAAATACGAACAGAACATGAGCAATATAAAGAGGGTCACACTTGAACATAAACCAAGAAAACTGATTTTATTCTGTAATTTTTTGTGCCAATCTGATGGATTGAATCACTTTCTTTGCAAAAGTAAAAGCTAAATTTTCAACAAATAGGCGACTTAGTCTAGGTTTTATATTGTTTGTTTCTAGTTGAGATAAGGTTGCAATTAAAATAAGACATGAGAAATCAAAAAATTCTGAAACAATCGCTTGGAAAATTTGACCAAAACTGAAGAAAATTGGATTCAAAGCGTTTTATTATTTAACTGTAATTAAACCAAGCAAATCCCAGTGAGATCACTGATCTGTTTTTCAATGGAGCCCTGAAGGCAACCTAATGTGTTTGGACTGTGGACACGCAAACTGGACTTGCAGGACCTTCAATGCTAACCACTAATCCATCATGTTGCTCATAAACTTAGGATTTCTGGTAAAGTAATATCCTGTCAATCTACCACATACATCTGCAAGCCATGCAAATGTCTTGGTGAGATGTTGCTCCACCACATACTTCTTGAACAACTTTAGTGTTGGAGTTGCTCTTTGTTGTTGCGTTAAGTTGGCATTGATTCTTTAAGTTTGAAAAGGTACAAATTTATCAAAACGTTACGCAACTATTGCTGGTTTTATCATGCAAAGAGGACAATATGTCTCCCAGAAACTGGTTGAGACAACAGAGATGAACAAACGCAGTTGAGGTGGTTGGAGATAAGTATTTGTATTGATGTGTGATTTAACTATCTTCCAGTGATTGAACAAGTTATTCATTTTAATTCAAAATACAAAAACAAATAAAATTGCTCAGAAATAGTGAAACTGTACCATGTCTTATCTGACAGGTGAGACAGCCGTATGTTTGGTTCTGGTGCCGTCACTTGTTTTYAGAATGTTCAGCCATCGCAACTCATCCCACAAACCGTTTTACTATGCATGAATGTCAGATCAATATCAAGTGTTGCTGCTCACAGAAAACTGAGGTTTTTAGCAAGGTTTTTCAGGCTGAGCTGCATTCCTTAATTTGGACGTTTTCTGTAAAGACTCCCAAGACCTTTTCGTGCAGTTTTCAGATTCAACTGTTTGCAAAATGTCACATATTTAGCTTGAAAGTTTAAAATTTCACAGGAAATACAAAAAAAAGATGCTTTCTAGATGTTTGACAAAACAAACCGTCAAGCTGTTTTGGTTTTAAATTATAAAGTGCTGTTTTTTGTGCATATAAACTAATGGGTGGTTACTGATTCACTGATTTGTCTTAAAAAGCATTTTTTGTGAATGCGTGAAAGCTCTTTTTGATTCATGGCGTTATCATGTTTTGGTCTATTTGTGGGTTTTTACTTCAAACTGATGTTTCTTTCTTTTGATCTTCACTCAAAGTCATGATAATAATAGAAACGAATCGTGTTAGATGTCCTTTTTCTACAGTGGTCACAAAGCTGGACCACAATGGCAGCTTAAAACAGATTAAAACACCACTGAGTGAAATAATGCGTGGTCAGAGTGTGAAAATACGCGAATACAGAAAATGTGAAATAAAGAGAATTTCCAAATGAAGAGGAAGCTGGTTGGAGCGATGCTGTGTCCGTGAATCTCTGGGGTCAGAAAGCCTATTAACCAGATTTCACTGATGCAGCAGGAAGAAATAGATGTCATCATGTTTGCTGTAATTGCATTTCAAGCTTGTGTCTGAGTGTGTGTGTGTCTGAATATTTTTGTGGTCTTTAAACCAGAGTCTCAGCGTTCTTCAGCAGCGTTTTTGGGAAACAAAATGTTGAACTAAACAGGTTTGTTTGACCTTTTCGAGGGTCCGGTTTGAACTCAGATTAGGTTCTGGGTTAGTCATCTTCAGCTGCGACAGAAATGTTTTGTGGGAAAAAAAATGAAAAAATGTCTTTCGTCAAAGAGGTGTGTGTTTGCCGGTGTGGGTGAGGCCGTGCTTGTGTGTGTGGGACGTTTGCATTGCTTCTCTGTTGCGTAGCCGATCTGAATATTCAAGTGGGTTAAAATGTGYTCCTGAATTTATTTTAAAATTCAAAGTTTGCAATGTTTTTCTTGCTCTGCACTGAATTAATGGATTTGGTTAAATAAAAGRACCTTCTAACCACAATCATAGGGAAACAGAACAATCAACCTGAGCTGAGCCGCTTTCCTCGGCTCATGAGATATTTCATGCATGCATGGTTGAAATAGGTGTAAATTGATACACACTCGTTCACCCGTCAGACTATTAATAGTGCTTTTGTCTGTGCAGCAGCTAATGATAATAAAATGTGTTGCAGGTGGGGAAGGAAACGGTTCAAACCACAGAGGACCAGGTGATGAAGAGAGACATGCCTCCTGCTTTTATTAAGTAAGTCTGTCTCAACAGTTTTGGATCTGATCCACTTTATCTCACTGGACATTGAACTTGTTTAAAAAAAAGAGAGAATTCCAAGAAAGGAAATGTGACGTTTCTGTTGCAGAGCCCAGGTGATTTTGAATTTTTGAATAGTGAATAAAAGTGAGAAAAAATATTGTAAAGGTTGTTACTTTGTAAATTTTGTAGCATTGTTTGTGGCTTTGCAAGAAGGTCCTTGGCTAGAGCTGATGCTGTTTGTGGGGGGCATGGCATGAAAAAGTTTGGGAACCCCTCATATAGAATGTCATTACCAGTGGTGGGCAGCACTAATCTAAAAATTAGTTCCACTAGCCCCACTAACTCAGATATTTAGGTCCCCTAATTCTAAYGCACTAACGCACTGAAAATTTTAGCAAAAGCTAATTCTAAAGCACTAAAATAACCCAGTCAACCCATGAACATTCTTCAACAGACAACATGAGTCACATATTACCATGTTGCTCTCTTAAGACTTATCATTGATATTCCTCAGCTGTATTTGGGTTCATATATTGTCAATATATTGTCACCTAGTGGATAAGTGACACATATGAACAAAATGTGTGAGTTTTCACTGTCAGCTGTTAACATTAATGTTGATCAAAAACATTTAAAGACCTGAGTTAGTGCTTCTAAATTTAGCCTATAAATTTAGCAAGTGCTAATCCACTAATACATTTTAAAATCAGCAAAAGCCCTAAAGCACTAATCAGGAAATTAGTTCCCCTATTAGTGCTTTAGTGCTTTAGGGGAACTGTGCCCACCATTGGTAATTACAGTCACTCAGACGAAGCCGATTTTATGTTAAAATGACCTGCCGTACATCTACAGACTGAGTGACTGACTGAACACGTGCCACTGCGCTTGCATTACTCAAGCAGAAGAAAAAGTAGTTCCCTCCAACCTCATATGATTTAGACAAGATTTGAATAGTTTAGTTATTTTCCACTATTTTCCTGTTAAGTGAAATAACTAAAGTATCAAAGTATCAATATTTTGATTTTTAGTATCGATTCTGGTATTAGTAGTAATAATAAATTTTTTTGCACATTCACAAAAATGACTCAGATCTTGTTATGGTCCACGCACCACTCTCTTGCCTTTTTCGCTCCCACATGACACGGGCTACCACACCGTAAATCTCATTCGCTTGGCTTAGGAGGGGCATGTGGGAATGTGAACCCAACTATATATAGACCAACCATCAGCCATTGATACCTTGACCAGTGGGGTCAGGAAGAGGAGGGATTTAGCTTTATTTCAATCCCACTAAAATTTGTCACCTCTGGTTCATCACTGAATCACGTAATTTTTGCACAAGTTTTAAATGAGTCGTTTTGTTGGTTCGTTTGCTCTAAATTGGTCTGCAGATTGAGATTTTACAGAACTTATTGTTTCATCTCGACCCACATTTTGCAGAAAGAGGTTRACAGAAGAAGCTGACTTCATAAGCAAAGTTTCTAAAACTCTAAGCGCTTCARCTCTTGGCTGTGCATTACTCTACGAGTTGCAAATGGATTCCTTGTAGCTACAGATCGATGCACCTGTTGGGCGAGYTGTCCTAAAGCCTGCTGTGTGCTTTCAGGGTGGAGAACTCCAGCTCCAAGCTCGTCCAGGCGGCTCAGATGCTCAAAGCGGATCCATACTCCGTCCCTGCCAGGGATTACCTGATCGATGGGTCCAGAGGGATACTGTCTGGAACATCCGATCTGCTCCTCACCTTTGACGAAGCAGAGGTGTGTGTTTGTCTTCCTCGTGCTAAGTGTGTGTCTTCATACTCCTTTTCTCTTCAGAGGTGCTTTGGTATCTTTCGGGGAAATCATGCTTTATATATAGCAGCTGCACAGAGGAAGGAAGAACTCTTCAAGCTCTAATGGAGGCTCAAATGCAGCTAGATCTAATCACCGAGATCAAATGACCTCCCTCTGTCATAACTCAGAATGTACATTTATGTGTGTGTGTGTGTGTGAGTGAGAGAGAGAGAGAGAGAGAGAGAGAGAGAGAGAGAGAGAGAGAGAGAGAGAG